AGGTGACGCTGTAATGCCGAATGGCAATCTTTTAAATCGAAATTCCACGATGTTGTCTTTAGTAGGTGGATGATTAGTGTTTTTAAGCCACAAAAATCGGCAGAGATCCTTGTGCGCGTCGACTAGGCGGATCTGCGTAAACGCGGCCTCAATATCACACAGTAGAATGATATTTTTGAACCGTGTAGACACGAGAATGTCATGGATTTTCTTGACAAATGATTCTCCTTTATGAATGACATCATTGAGAGAGAGTTGTCCCTTTTTACTAGATGATGCATCAAATACGATTCTCAGTGGAACATTTTTGTGAGGTTTCCACACTCCAGAATGCGGCATATAGTAAATTCCTGCGGCATTCGGTTCGGGCATGCGGAATTCTTCTATTATTCCTTCTGCTAAGTATCTCTGTATGATCTCGCAGTACCACTGTTTTTGGTTTGGATTACTTTGTAGTAGTCTTTGAGTTGACTGCAATCGTTTTATTGCTACCGTGTAGTTGTTTTCAAGAGTTGTAACGCTTTCCTTCAACGGAAATGGAGCGGTTATGACACTATTTTCAAAAGAAATACTTTTTGCATAGTTTTCGAAGTATTTCTGCACTTTTTCGTCTGTTTGGCAGTCTTCTGGTGCAATGCCAAGGCCATCGAGCTCAAACATTTTTTGCAAAATTTCCTCTTCCGTGTGCGTGTGTATTGCAGTAAGACTGTGAGACACTGATTCAGAGTTGCCTTGTTTAGTAATGCCGCGACCATAAATCGTCGGCCCAAAAATGGTTTTCGCAATGTGAAATCCGCTAGGAGTTTTTATGCCATGTGCAGGGTCAGTTACTAGTTCGTGGTAGTAGTCAAGACCCACAAGTACATGCGGAGTTTGGAGCTCGCCTCGAATTTTTGAGTTCGCCAAGCAAATGCTATTTGATTTCAGGAATTCCACATCGCTAGGATCGAGTTTGACCGAAGGAAAGCCGTTTGTGATCACAGGTTTTGTTTGAACTGTCATATTCACTTCTTCTCCGTATGCTGTCCCCAGTTTTATTGGAACTGTGTGGCTTTGGAAACATTCTATATGACCACCAATGCCGGACATAGTGCAGAGCTCAGTGGTTTGTTTTTTAAGACCAAGACGATCGGCGAGGCCTTCCTGGATGACGGTTTTTTGCGCTCCAGAGTCGAAGAAGAAGAGAACCTTTTCATAAATTTGTTTATCGGCATTCCATATGTTACCTTCAGCTGTCATCAATATCAGTTGTTTATTCGCAGCGCTGTTATCGACGATATCTTTGCTGTTATTTTGCGTTTCTGCGAACATTTGTGTGTTTGGTTGGTTCACTTTCTGTTTTTCGAAACGTTTGTAGTTGTTTCTTTGGTCTGAGTGTCGATTTCTATCGTTTCTATGGTTGTTTTGATTTTGATTCGCATTTCTGGGCCTGCTATCGTACGTAGGGTTGATGCGAGGCTCATCTTTCTTATAGCATAAACTAACGTGGTGTTTTTGGCCGCATAGGCCACAGTCTATGTTTTGGCAATCGAAACTAGTATGGATGGAAGAGCAACATTTCCAGCAACGATTTTGCTCTCTCAAAATCTTTCGACGAGTACTCTGCTCAGTGACTGTCCGACAGTAAAGGGATGGGTGATTGCCCTTCTGGCAGAATACACACCCTCCGTCTTGATTGGGTCGTGGATTGATAGGTCTTGTTTTTGATTGAGTGACCTTATTGGTGGTCTGGTGACCTAATCTGTTTTCCACGTATGCTTTGGCGTCTACTTCTGTTTTGAGTATGCCCATGAGGTCATCTATTGTTTGCTTTTCATGTGACCGACTGGCTATCAAGACTGATCGGACAATGTCTTGGGGGAATTTAGACAGAATTGTTTCTCCCCACATGGGATCGCAAGTGCTACTCACGTTGTAGCCTGCGGAAATCATCTGATTGGTTAACATTCGGATTTGAGCGAATGTGTGGATGCAGGATTCTGGTGTATTTCCTGCCGCTCTCATATTGACGAGTTTTTGTACAATTTGCGATCTGTTCGTAGGGTGATTGCAAAAAGTTTCCTTGAGGGTTTTTATGAGCCACTCATAATTTTCTGGAACGAGTTTGATTCCTTTGATGGCTGTGTGTGCTTTACCCTTTAAGCATTCCATCAAATGGAGGATTTTCTCCATTACATCGATTTCTTGGTTATTGTGGACTAGAGTTTCGAATACGGACCAGAATTCTGAAAAACCTTCTGGGTCACCGTAAAACTTTGGTAACGAAATTTGTGGAGGTTTTATTAGTTTGTTTGTCCTCCTAACTGGAAACTCGAGATTTGGGTCTGTTACTGAGGGTTGTGATGAGCTTGGACTCGCCTCATTTTGGAGACTAGGCTGGGATGAGACTGGATTAGTTTCGTCCTGAATACCATTTTGTTCTGGATCTTCATGGTGTACGCCTTCAGCACTGTGTTCTCCGCTGTCTAGGCCTTCATCTCTCTGCACTCTGATGGCAGAGTATCCCAATTTTATCTCCATATTTTCTCTAATGCTTTTGGACTCGTCTAGTCGTGCTGTAATTACATAGACCAAGTCGTTAGCTTCAGCGATAGCGCCTTGTAGCTGAGATTCTTCTTCTATCTGCTCAATCTCTATCATTATCTCTTTTCTATCTGTTTTGCTTTTACAATTCTTGTATTCTTCGCGAATTTCGTTGTAAAGCGTCTGAAGGCTTTCTCTCGCTTCCTTCAGCTGTTTGATGCTACTCTGCAAGAGCGCAATCGTCGACCTGCATTTCTGGTAGTTTTCTTCGTCTACCGTAGGATAATTTACTGCTTTGCTGTACTCGCTGTACCTTGACACTAGTGTTTTCAAGGTGTTTGCGCTAAGAATGATCGGCGTTTTGTGGAAGTGAAGCGCCATTTTGATCTAAACTAGCGATTTATGTTCAAGTTGTCCGCGTTCAACTGAATTGCAGCGGTCTGTCAGATTTATTTTGCTGACAACACCCGATTTGTTATGTGGGTGACTTCTTCCCTTTTTTGTTTCTTTTCGGGATGAAGATTTACGGCTTTTATTGTGCCGAGTGGTTGCTTAGCAGCTAGTCTCGACTCCTGGCTATCACAGATGTCACTCTGAGATGCGGGAGTAAGTGGCAACTTTGGCCGATGCACCAAGCTATTGCGGGTACTAGAGACTCTTGGGCGGTTTTGCCCGTAACGAGAATACAAGTACAAAAGACGGTGGTTCAGGATTTATTAATGAGTTAACAAGAGTGCAGCGAGTATGCGAGCAGGAGAACGATACCTTTCTGTTCCACAGTAAATATGCAAGTGAGGAGAGGGGAGTAAGTTCGGCCACGCCTATCTCGGCGTGACCTAAGGTCGCGGCGGGGCATCATCATCGGCACGATGATAGAACCTCACAAAAATTTGGGTCGGGAACTTTGCGAATTACAAGTTTTCCCGTACCCTATACGGGTTTGAAATGTATACAAAAACCCTAGCAAACCCGTTTCGGGAAGCCTTCATAGAAGCAAAGCGAGCAGGCTGTACCGCTTTACAGTCTGCCCTAATCAGGATCAGGCCGGACCGTCCGCTGAATTTGCGCGCTTGCAGTGCCAGGAGCTTGCGCTGCATACGCGGGATGTCGCAGAGAGCGAAGAGACTGAGGAGAGAGCAGATTGGCCAGCCATAGACGTGACGCAATACCCTCGCGACACGGACTCCCGCCATGCCAATTTTGGTCTGGTTCGGATTGGGGCAGACTGTATCTTAGCATTAGCTTTGGCCGCAAGGTTGAACACTTCAAGAAGGATGACGTTGTTTGGGAAGACGTGTTGAAAAGCAACAGGGAAGCCGACAAGTCCAGCGTGAGATGATACCCGCTCCGCGCGTAACTTCGAGCCCAATTTTCCCGGCATTCAATTGACTAACTTGGGCATAGGCTTGATAGGGGTCCAATGAAGTCATCAAGAACAGTATACAGTCTGCCCCAATCCCAACCAGGCCAGAAGTGGCATGGCGGGATTTCGTTTCGTAAGGGTATTGCGTCACGTCTACTGCTAACTATTCTGCTCTCTCCTCAATCTCTGCGACAGCGCGTATGCAGCGCATATCCCCAGCGCTGCAAGCGCGCAAATTCAGCCGACGGTTCGGCCTTATCCCGATTGGGGCAGACTGTACCCCAAATTGGGTAGAGGTACGAACGCCTCAACTAGGCGCCGCTTCTGCGGGCTGCTGGTCCTTTCCTCCAACTATTGTACATCGCGCTGGGACCAGTAGTCCGCGGAGGCGGTGCCTAATTGAGGTGTTCGTTCCTTCACCCCCCCCCCCCAAATTTGGTCATAGCTGCGAAGGCACGGACTAAATAGAGAGGTTTTGGGATTCCAGTGCCAAGCGAAAGTGGGCCCCCTCGGGAACGCCAATGCAAAAATGCGAGGCCATAACGTTTGACCAAGCAAGAAATACCCTAATTTCCGGGGTATAAGGCGCAGTAGCTTTTACCGCGCGCGGACTGATGTGCGATCACGTTCGCGATGCGCGGCGCCGCACAAGCTGCCAACAGCAAATCTCTACCTTTTTTTTTATCAAGAATGACAAGAATAAAGCAAAAACACCACCTTCAAAATACCAGTTAACATTGTAAAGAAAAGACCGTTTCAGTACCACTAGCGTTGTTGGAAACGAAGGAAAGCGCAAAATGCAGCACAGGCAACATCATTGGAAACGAAAGAATCATCTAAACGTCATAAACACCACTGAGAACATCATCCTCCTACCTGTAAAAACGATTTCAAAGTATGAGTTCTAAGAAGAGTAAAAAATTACCTGAAGACATGATTTATAATAAATGAAGAATAATCACAGCGCACTGAGTCTTCAGCTTTCTAGATTCAGAGAGCAATCATTTAGAAAGCGCGTTTTCGCGCCATTGTTCGCTGCGGTGGGTGCGCCTTATACAAGGTGCGCCTCATACTCCGGAAATTAAGGTGTTTACAGTCGGGAAGTGGAACTTACGCTCTGGAGGAGAGACCCGCCCTCCTGTGCGGCAGAGCACGCATGCTGCTCTGGTTGAAGAGTCACGCAACGATTCTGTGCCTCAGCTTGGCGGGGCTGCGTCGCTCGTCCAAAGTCAAATTGTATGGGTTTCAGAAACACCTGTTTTCGCGCTTTCACTGTAGACTTCGGATTTAGCGTCGCAGATAACTGCAGGTGCTAAAATCGACTTTTTATTCGGACGCTTCCTTCAACCACTGGGTCGAGACATAAATTCAGGCCATCAGCCAAGCCCGATGTCATGATTTAGCATAGGCACCCGCCATACTTGATCCGCTTCGTGCAAAACGCGCGCACTCAGCACTCTGTCATTTGGCGTCGCATGCAGCAAATTTGCTTAACCATACGAGATTCCTTTTCACCTACGCGGCGCCAAATGACAGACTGCTGAGTGCGCGCGTTTTGCACGAAGCGGATCAAGCGGATCAAGAGGATCAAGTATGGCGGGTGCCATAGAAAGTGAAGTCGTTTTGATCGGGTGGAGGACTATATGTCGCCGTAAGTGGGTGCTCTCGCGCAGAATCTGCGACGAAGTACGCAAACACCTGATAGACATAATGAATTTGTCTATTCCCGTGCGAGGTGGAGCCTGATAGGCTTCGAACATTCGTATTCGGATGATTTACTACTGATAAATTATGGTCTAATGTTCGAATATTCAAATAAAATTTCGAATAAGTTGTTTCTTCGATTCGTCAAATGAACAAATATTCAAACAAAAGTCTTTTTCATTTATTAGACTATTCGAATAATCAAATAAATGCACTTTCCTAAAAATTTGACTCCTCTAGTTCGAATAAATCATTCAAATACAAATATTCGAAAGGTATTCGGTTCTAATTATAGAGCCTATCGGTGCCTATCCCCTACCCAATCGCTCCGGAGGAGGCCATCGGCCGCCCACTAACGTGCCACGAATGCCACTGATTTTCGCGACCAGCACTTTCTGCACTCTTCACCTCTTATCCCGACCAATCTCATTTGGGCTCCCTGACAGGGAATGCGAAACTTCTTGTTTCGACCGTTTCAGGCGATTTGGAGCCAGTACTCCTGTTTAGCTTGAAAGCGAGGCCGGTAAAGAAAGAAATCCATAGGTTGCCGATTTGCCCGAATTGCTTTCAATGCGACTAGAGAAAGAGGAATTTATGACATAAGTAGACAGATCTGCACAAGTTAATGGCAAGAACATCACCGCAGAAAACTGACAAAATCACTTTATATAGGCAGAGCACATGAGGAGCCCGAATAAATCGAAAGATGACCAATACCAGCATTTACCTTCAATAAATTACTGAGGTTTCCAGATGTACTGACACATTCAATGTTGCTAGAAAATTATTACAAGTATACAAAGAAAGTGATTACATGTATATAAAGGCATGAAGTACAAGTTGAGTGAGCACAGAAAACTATCACTTAGTTTGCTTACTACTGCTTGCTTTTTCATCGGCTTTAGAGAAAAGCTGTTGAAGAGCAGCCTCTAGGTCGTTCCTAGACATATAAAATGAAAATGTGTATTAGAAAAAAAAACGAACACACCTAGTCATTTTCAACGCAGCTTTAGCTTCTTCTTCGGAAAAGCCAAGATTCATTGCTTGAGTGAGGAGATCGCTGTCAACCATGAAGTCTGAGCCATCTAAACAGAACATTTGACTTATTTCCCTGGACATCCGTATCCAACCTGCTTCAGCCAGATCTTCAAGATGCGTATTGATCTCTGCCTCTGACAAGAAAGGAGTTTTTGTTCCGTCGCCCATCTCCAACCTGTACAGAAGTTTTTTTCATGACAAGAAATATAACACCACAAGAACCATTGACAAGGAAAGGATAATTGGTGACCCTGGCCTTTTGAAACTAAACGTACGCCCCTGAATGCAACTCGAAGCTTAAATTCCAAATCAGCCTCCAGTATCCGCTGTGTGCGCTATTCCGAAAAAAGTTATGAATGTTTGTTGTCACTGTTTGCACTGTTTTGATGACAGGATTCACCAATATCGTTGGGCATCTCACCCATGTAAGAAGCGGCTCCCCTAAGCAGATAACCTGCGCAGCATTCTCATACCCCACATAATACACTATGTCGCCATATTCATCAACCCTTGAGGTAAGATGTAGATATCTTCAAGCGCATACCCGTATTCACAAGACAAGCGCCAGTGCATTTGCATTATCTTATAGATAATTAACTTTACTTTAAGATATGTTCATACACGGGTTAATGGCTCAATGTATGTTTTTACATACCTATAGGTTAATGATTGAGCATACCTTGTGAATACGGGTATGCGGCTCAAGGTATATTTTACTTCACACTGTACTAGTCATTTTCCCTACATAATCTAATGGCGGCACTGTGATGTACACTTCTAAAACGGGCAAGAGTACTTGGAGTTTCATCAACAATTTTGTACATTCTCCAAATCCCTTTTTTTTCTCTGACAGTGTTTGTAGAAATACTACTTCGCATTCCACAGCCACTGAAGGTTCATCAAAAGAGGAAGGACTAGTGAACCAGCAATTAAAGGTGCTAGTTTGTATCCGCGCGCTTCCGGACCGCCAAGCGCTTTCCCGCTATTTGCACATTTTTGAATTGCGCTGTTCTCTTTATATATTATATATATTATTATTATTATATATTAGATTAGATAGATAGATAGATAGATAGATAGATAGATAGAGATATTATGTGACCGGGCCACTAGACAGCCACACGAATGTTTATTGCGGGCCTGCGCTCAAAGCCCGCAAAAATTCTCTAAAGTTTTGCATTACCAAAATTTGCGCGTTGCAAATAAGCAAAATTACGACATCATGTTTAGTCCCTCACAGAATTCAGAAACTAGAATCACATCAAGGTCGAGATGTCTTGTCTCATCGCCAATTAGAGAGGTTTGAAAGATACGATTTTGCAAACCCTATCGGCGTCTTCTACACGCTAGAAGCATGCACCGGGCGCATTCCACTTTAGGCACTTATATGCGTGCAAGCCTTTTATGGTGAGTTGCGGGGCAAGCCAATTATCAAATCAATGCATTTTCTCAGGTTGCTCCGGTACTACCCTGATTTCACGCGTACAAGGCGCACTTTTTCGAATTTCCAAGCAAGCCGTCAGCCGCTTCACTGTATTCCGGAAAGAAACTTGCATCGCACGATTCTCTCAAGCAATATACAGCACGTTATAGGGTCCTTTGGTTGCAAAGTCCTTTGGCTTGTCCGGGCTGGTCGATTTTGAAAAAAATCCCCCGCGCCTTATACGCGTGAAATTAGGGTAGTTTAGCATCCCCGGGAGGTAGCAGATAAGTCTCCGAGAATAGGTCGCGAATTTTTTGAAAGTTACTTGCATGAGTTATAAAAATGTGCGAGTAATTTGTTTATACTTCCGATAATCAAAATAATTTTTGGAAAATAAAAAGTTCAACTTAGTCTTGCAGAAAATTTTCTTCGCTCCTTTTTTTCTGAAATTTTGGGGTTATGGGCACGCGAAAATTTCAAGAAGCATACCAAAATATTTTTCTGGGTGCGTGGTTAACGCCACGTCTTCACAGAAAAAATTTTTTTGTCCCCCCCCCCCCCGAACGGATATCCTGGGTACGTCAATACACTATCCAAACAACAAATTGCCTCAAAAACAAATCCACCCATGCAACGAATCATATTAAACTTTACCAACCGATGAGAGAATACCACAAACAGGCAGCGCCTGCGCGTACTACTATTTCTCTTACAATTTGCACTGAACAACTACCACAGTCGCTTAGAGCGAACCCAGCCTAGAGAGAAGGCATAATTCCACGATTATAAAAATTGAGAAGTGGCGTGCAAATCGTTTGCAAATCGTCATTTTCTGGGCCGCTAGCGGTGGTTGGAATATATCCAGCACTGAACAGACAACGACGTAACCGTTTACTTACATGTTAGTCTTGAGATTGATTTTGCAACAATGTCGTTTGAGAATATTGAGACCAAGCAGGAGATCCATTTCTCGATCAGCCATGACGTCGAAATTACAAGGAAAGAAGTGATCCTCGACCTTTACCTGACCTCAAAACAGAGATTATCTACCAGGGAAAAGATAAATCAAGAAGTAACTTACAAGAATGGATTTTTCCAACAAACTTCTGGAAACCTCCAACTCCCCTCGCAGTACCAGTAAAACGTCTATCAATAAGGTGAGAAAGCTCACATCGTCGTGCACATGCTTCCGAGAGTATTGAAACTTGTGCTCCTACAAGAACGAAGCCTTTACGGTGAGCTAGCAAACTTCCTTCAACCCCTATGATTCCTAATAACCGTAATGAAAAACACTCCGATGTGATCTGTAACTGCGACGTAATATTTGAAATCGGAACATTATATCACGAAAAACACAGTGTAACAGGAAGCAACAATTCACACTATGTCATGTAATAATTTGTAGCGTACTTTGAAGGCTACCCGGTCACACATGCATATCCTTACCAGAATCCACAAAGGCTTTCACAGGATGACCGTTTATTTCCATGCGTATATACAACATGTGAACAGGTATATAGGCTTCAGGAGTATGTTCCAGTGCCTATAACTCAAAAACAAAAATACATTAGAGACCCAAGAATGCAGATAAATGAGAAAAGCCAACAATATGAATAGCAAACCTGAGCGTACGAGTAGTTGATGTTTTCAAGTTGAATTTGCTCTTGAATGAGACGCTGACCTTCGGCACTAGTTGGATCTGCCATTAGACGCGCTTTTTCAACTTCATCATTGATTATCTTTTCATACGCCTTGCAAAAGTCTTCTGCAAACACTTTTGACAGGAATCTCATTATTCCATAAAAATTTCACTAACCAAAGTTGTTGGGATCCTTTGTGTACTGATCTACTAGTGGTTTGGCTTTGAAGTATATGTGTGCTCTTTGTGCAGGATTCTTCATCTGACGTGATAAATTCATCAGACAATCAAATTCCACTATATTGCGCTGACTTAACCGGTACCCATACTATGGTAGGACTAGCCGTTCAAAGAAAGGCACGCATGAAAAAAACCTGTGGCGGGTGAAGCGGCGCTTATTTAAGAGGGAGTGCAAGTGAGTATCGTTTTTTCAACGGAGTTGTGCCTCCTACGTCGCCGCAGCAACGGAAACGCAAACGCATGTGGACCGGAACAGAAAACAGCGGATAGCGAAGGATTGGAGAGGGAACAGACATGAACTCTATCATCTCAATCAAAAACAATTTAAATCTGATAAAATATACTGGAACAGAAGTTGAAGGAATTTTGCAAAAAAAAAACACATGAAACATATTTAACAAAAAACACAGTTGAATACTCACCAACTCAAAAATTCTTCGCGCGTTCTCCCTCAGAGGATTTACTGTTTTTGGCGGCACCTAAATATCTCTATAAAAAAGTAGTAGGCAAATGAGATTGGTGGTTCCTTCATACTACGCCCACGGCGCGGCCGTCTGCAGCGCATTCGCAGGACGCAGCAGCCTGCCGCAACCTGGGGCGTCGCTGCAGTCGCAGCGAAAATATGCACAAACATGAAAATGTAGCAACCACATTTGTACTAGACAGACTAGCGCATTGAAAGTCATTGACGGAAATAACTGACTGAGGTGAAACAAGTTTGGAATCGAGAACGCACCTAAACTCAACCTGAATAAAAAACCACTGGACCTATGATGAGGCAGAAAGAGAAAGAAGACTGTAAATTCTAAACGAATACACTCTACGAATGCGAACGTGCACAGAAGAGGAACATCGATAAACCGCAAAACTGTGCTGGCATAGGGAACGGCCATAGGTTGTCGGTGTTGTCGGTGTTGTCGGTGTTCGGGGTTGCCGAGGTTGCCGGTCGTTGTAGGACCTCATGATAGCCTCCACGTTTCGCGCGCTCTCTAAACTGTCTCTGACCCCGACAACCCCGACAACACCGGCAACACCGACAACATCGACAACACCGACAACATCGACAACACCGACAACACCGACAACCTATGGCCGTTCCCATAGGCATACCTTCGCCGCGACTGCAGCGGCGTACGCCGCAGGCTGCGGCAGCTGCTGCGTTCTGAGGCGTAGTGTAAAACTCTAAGAGCTTGACACGTTGACGACAGCGTGCATATGCGCATTAACGCCCTGACTTCCGCTTAACATTTTGGATAACGCGAGCATGCAAGCCAGTTTTCAAGTGTAGGCAAAAAGTTCTAAGGTAACTTCTATGCAATAATAACACTGCTGGCCTGATTTTCTCATGAAACACAGAGCATTGCCGTAGATGTTTAGTCCAGACCGTAATTTAGGTATTCAACCCATTCTTGATGTGTTAAGTATAGGTGATTCATTGCACGCAAAGACAGGGCGTCTCTACGGAAGCTTCGGCTTCGCGCTGATCGAGCGCTCTTTCATCCCTTTTACCATCTGTCGTCTCTTCCATACGCGAATTATCCTAGTCGGACGCAACGGCGCTTAGTCCGTGCATGCATCGCGTATTCATGCGAATTATGTTTGCTCGCGAACGCAGAAATTCTGTTTAGCTGTTCTGAAAGCAAACGGAGATGAACTCAAGCAAAACACCCAATATTGCCAAATGGTTCATTATTCATTAGAGGGGAAAGCGATGCAAAAGTCCTCATATGTGGAATTCCTGGAAAGACTCTGTGGAATAAATGTGGTTCTGAGAAAAATTCCGCATTCTTTATGAACAAGCTCAAAAAGACTCCCATATAATGACATCGTGCATACGCGCCTATGAACGACCAAATGCCGCTCAACATGGCTTGGTCGTCAACATGTTATTAAATGCAAGAGAAGCATACACTAGGGATACTGAGCAAACAGCTAAATCCGAAAATTATTTGAAATTCACAGTTCTTAATATAGTGACTAACCTTTATGGATTTTATCAATTCGGTTATCCTGTTGCTTCCAGCTAAGCCTGCCTAAACTGTCAGATTGTGAAAAGCGAGAATAAGGCACACACTCACCAAAGGCTGTGATTGTTGCTGTGACGATGCAGGGACCTAAAATTGAATGCTATGCGAAGCATAAGCTCATTTGAAAATACCTGGCTTGAAGGTGGGGGTTGGTTCAATAGCCGCACTAGCAGTACATCATCAGCTTTGATTCCAAGTGCCTAAAGCAGCTCTGAAATGTAAGGTTGCCTGAGCGTAAGCTGCTTTCTCCTTTATCCATTTCATGCCATCAAGGTTTGCTCAGAAATTGATTATGAATAAATGGTAGTGATCTTATCCCCACTGATTTATAAAAGTCAGCACTATAGTATCTCTAAACTCAATAGCCACCACGGCAGATGTAGTATTCATATTAGAATGCTCTCAGTGATATTAGGGTTCATGAAAAATCATAAGTGTGTTCGGTGCAAAATTGCTCTACTCGTCAACTCCAATATAAGGTGAAGACATGAAGACCACCGCGTTCGCGGAGGCAGATGTATAACTAGTGCACCCTTCGCCTTGCTGTCCATTCGATTTACTCCAAATATTTCTTGCCTCAGAACTTATACCTCAGAGATTGAAACGCCAATGTCTCCCACCTCAGCATACTCATTGTCTTTCAGTAAAGTTCAAAAATATTACAAGGGCGAAACGAAAAAGGACGACACGGAACCTTATCCATTGAAACTGAGCATGATCTATTGTAAGCCTATGTTGAAGGGAACGAAATTAACCTATATCCGACTTTCTGGAGGCAATTGGGTGGATAATTCTCCTCAACCAATCTGACCTGTCAGACAATCAGACAACCATATACTGATAACAACCTTAGCAACAAGTGGGTGAGTCGTAAACCATGAAAAACACTAGCGCCCGTCCATGTCAAACAAGGACCTTGGACTCTAACCTCATACATCCCATATATGTAAGCTGATAATTTCCATTTATGCTTGATTTAGCAATGTCGAGGCAGTCGTGCGTCTCTTAAGATGTTTGCACTCTGGTTACTTTTAGAGGTAAGGAACTGACAGCATTCGTTAGTATAGTCGCTCTCACCCCACTAGTCGGTCGGTGGACAAATTCAAATTTGAATTGGAGCAGGCCTGTCACGGCAGAGCGCGGCAGGAGACAACGCTCAGCAATTACGAAAACTCAATATAGGTCAAAAACGTTGTAACAATGCAAAAACTGCTAAGCAATGGCGAAGAAATACGCAAAGTGAATGCGTGAATTTGAACGGAGAGCTAAGGTGCCGTGCTCTGATCCGACCTGCCTGCTCCAGTTCGAATTCGAATTCGTCCACCGACCGACTAGTGGGGTGACGACTATATGCATGAAAGGTAATTAGGTGCCAGAGGCCCTGGCCAGACTTCGCTCAAAAGCGCCCAAAAGCGCTCAAAAGCGCGCAAAAGCGCCCAAATTTCTCTGGTGTCTCTTCACTTTCTCGTGTGAGGAGAGATGAAAGAGAGTGAGGAGAGGTTAGAGAAGTTTGGGCGCTTTTGCGCGCTTTTGAGCGCTTTTGCGCGCTTTTAAGCGCTTTTGGACGCTTTTGAGCGCTTTTGAGCGAAGTCTGGCCATGGCCAGAGTAAGGCACCCGCCATACTTACCCCTCTTGATCCGCTTAATCCGCTTGATCTGCTTGATCCGCTTGATCCGCTTGCACCGCTTCTTGCAGGACGCGTGTAAAACGCGCGCACTCAGCAGTCTGTCATTTGGCGCCGCGTAGGTAAAAAGCAATCTCGTATGGTTGAGCAAATTCGCTGTACATGACGCCAAATGACAGACTGCTATGTGTGCGCGTTTTGCACGCGTCCTGCAAGAAGCGAGCAAGCGGATCAAGCGGATCAAGAGGGGTAAGTATGGCGGGTGCCTAAGCGAATATTTTTCAGGTTGGGGTCCCGCGCAGAATTGACGTCACTTGGATTGACGCCAGCATGGTGAGAGACGTCTTCTGCGCGGGACCCCAACCTGAACAAAATATTCGCTTACTGTGGCACCTACCAAAGAATTGAGGGCGCGAGCACTGGAATCAGTCCTCATAACTTTGCGTGTACGATTCTTGAAAGGTATGAAGACGGAGTTGGAATAAGCACTGGAAGGCGCACTCACTGAGCATAGGACTAACGAAAAATATATAACTATTTTGATAGAAAAAATGATTCATCGTGTAGAACAAATGAAACAGTAACTGGTAGTTCTAGATTGAGAGCAGTGAGATCGAAGTTTTACCTCTTGGTTGTCCTTACGTTCTTCAAATACAGCTGAAAAGACCCGGTGATTTCCCTAAATGCGAGGGCTTTCACAAATTCACGAAGTCTTAGCTTTGCAAAGATTGCTTTCTTTAGGATATTTTCCTATATAATAACAGGGTAGAATGGCAAAAGCGTTGCTTGTCTCTCCGTGGGTATACGCCAAAAAAGCGCCTCCTTTTCCAAACCAGTCTTATAAATCTTCCAAGATTTTCCCTAAGCAGAGCCATGAGGATTTGTTTCCGCGAGAATATCACCGCCAAGCTGAATAGTGCCAAACATGAAAGCGTTTAATGATGTCCAGATACCACATCGTCACTTTCTGACCGGACTTCCGGATCAGTATGAACGCAGCCCTATACGCTCTCGCGGCAAACCCAGCAATAGGCAAACCCGACAATTTCGTCAATTCCGGCAACCCTGGCAACAGTTGCCGGCAACCTATGGCCGAATCTCCTGGAGATCAAAATTGCATACCTCGAGAGTAGACTTGTAGTTCATAAGTTGCTTCCCGTCCTTCAAAACCGCAATCTGCTCCGGAGGTATCTCCTTTCCGAAGAGTTCAACTGCACATAGAGCTAATAAATCATTGAGCTGAAAGCGAAGGGATGCTAACATGAGCATAAAGCGTATACAGCGCTGCTTACCGTCATATCCCCTGGGACGTCATAACCTGCTTCAGCAACTAGGTTCGTTACCGAAACGAACATCTAGAAAAGCTTTCAAAAAACAAGTGAAAAGCTGCTTATACAAAAATTGTACCAAATCATGTTTACAGAAGATGAAGATAACGATGCGAAAAAGAAAAGAAAAAAAGCGTTACAGAAGCCCGCGGTTAATTGTGCAACTCTACGCAACCGCGCCTTCACATTGAATTACACGACATCGCGTCTTTTTTTCCGACGAAATCGAAGCCAATAAAATTCTTCTCATTGTCGGTCTTGCTTCCTTACAATTAACTGGGGTCTTACTCATTCCCATTAGCCTTTAACATTGGCATCGAAAATCTCAGCTTTGCTGAGGTTCGCTGCTTGCAGAAAGTACCGAAATTTCCGGGTAGAGTTTTGTCATAGTTTGGACTCGCGCATTCTACCGCGCTCATTCATGTCTTAATGTCTATAATGTCCTTACCCCTTATCCCCATTTTTTGTTACCCGTTTTTCGTTGCACGGTTTCGATAAAGTTGTTGAATCAGGGCTGAATTTGATTGGATTTCAGGGTCCCACTGCTGTGAGCGATGACGTCACAGTACAATTTCAAACGTATCACGGTTGTTCCGACAGCTTCGGCAAGTTTCTAAACATCTTTTTTTTTTCAGTTAATGTTGATCTCTATGGTAACTTGAATTAGTCTAGTAGTTGTATCACTTAAATTGAATTAAGTAATGACCATTCACTTGTCGATGATTTGCACGGGATAATGCCAACATTTTAGGAACTGAAAGAAATAGTGTTGTCGAAGACACAACGTAAGACACCAACTGTAATTCACAGGCAGTATGCTATTGGACGGATACGTGCTTTTTATGCCCGCAAAATCAAGTTCCTCCAACAGACGTTGCATGACAAATTGACTCAAATTATAAATGAATTCCCGAAAATGGAGGTGAGTTCATTTTCAAAGTTCTTCCTTGTTGTCATGATTGAGTTTTTGTTCCGAATTCAAATGATTTTTTTAGGAAGTACACCCCTTTTACTCTGATTTGATGAATATTCTGTATGATAGAGATCATTACAAAATTGCGCTTGGACAGATGAATACAGCTAGACATCTTATTGACGGGTAAGTTCGAATGAGAATTCTTTCACAACCAAACCATTCTGCATCATTCAGAATTGCCCGCGAGTATGTGCGGTTAATGAAGTATGGTGACTCCCTCTATCGCTGCAAAATGTTGAAAAGAGCCGCTTTGGGAAGAATGGTGAAGTTGTTAAAACGACAGAAGTCTAGTTTTGAGTACTTGGAGCAAGTTCGACAGCATCTTTCACGTCTCCCGAGTATCGATCCTGGGACTAGGTAAATTGGTTGCGATATCTGTTTGCCTTGCGATATTTTTAAGCGCATGCTTTAGGACTCTAATATTGTGTGGTTTTCCAAATGTTGGTAAATCATCATTTATCAACAATGTTACGAGAGCTGACGTTGAAGTGCAACCGTATGCGTTCACAACAAAAGCTCTTTATGTCGGTCATCTTGACTACAAATTTCTGCGATGGCAGGTCGGTCGCATTTTTCATCAACTTGCTCCTTTTCTCCTACTATGTCCCCTTTTTCTACATAGGCCAATTTTTCCAGGTTATCGACACGCCCGGTATACTCGATCAGCCACTAGAAGAGAGAAACACCATAGAAATGCAAGCCGTAACCGCTCTCGCTCATCTCAAAGCCGCTGTACTATTCATAATGGATGTTTCCGAACAGTGTGATAGGACCATTGAGGAACAGGTAGTTTTAAAACAAAATTTTCAATTTTTATAATTCCTGCTTTTGAAAATTTCCATTCAGGTTGCTCTCTTTGATTCTATAAGACCACTGTTTGGTAACAAGCCAGTTTTGATTGGTCTGAATAAGGTTTGTTATTGATTTGGTGCTACTTCAAAACGGCAATGAATTGTTGTGATTATCAAAGGTAGACATTGTTCGACGAGGTGATCTTCCCGCAGAAAAGGAAGCTCAGCTGGAAAAGATTGAGAAGGATGGAATTCCAGTTATAGAAATGTCTACTGTTACGCATGAAGGAGTAATGAGCCTTAGGGACAAGGTATGTACACATAATTTGTAGTAAGTTGTTGTAGGTAATGGTTGTAAATGTGTAATGATGGTGAGAAATTTCCGAAGTTCAGGCATGCGATGAATTGCTGGCACAACGAGTTGAGGCTAAGCTACACTCAAAGGCAGCATCTGTAGAGGACACGGTACTTAGCCGAGTCTTTGTTGCATTCCCGACTCCTAGAGACGATAAAGTGAGTTTTTGTGTGCAGTGGCTGCGAAACTGAAAGAATTATTTGAGGTTCGTGCACCTTTTATCCCTCCTGCTGTGTTGCAGCGAAAGCAACGCATGCAAGTTGACAATAGCTCAAGGCGTGATGAAAGTGAGTTTTCTCTTACTTCATAATTTTACCGAACAATCATTGACCAACCATTATCAAGATACACGAAAGCTTGAACGTGAGTTGGAACTAGAATTAGAAGACGAATACATCTTGGATCTCAAGAAACACTATCTCCTCAAAAATCCAGAGGAGAAGTATGATATTGTTCCTGAGATCTGGGAGGGACACAATATAGCTGATTTTGTTGATCCGGAAATTGAGAAGGTACGTATTTTGCTTGAGTTGGTGAGTCAACCTCAAATTGATCTTTTAGAAACTGGCTGATCTGCTAGCTGAAGAGGAGTTGCGTGAGAAGGCGGGAGAATACGACTCTGATTTGGATAGCGATGATGAAGAAACCAAAGAAAAGCTGGAACTAGCCAAACAGATTAGAGAGAAAGAGAAATTGATGGCACTAGAAAATCACATGAATAAGTCAAAGGCGGTCTGTTTCAGGATTTCACTTGCTAGGTATACTGTGCTTTGTACGGTTTACTCCGATTTTAGGGAAGCCAAGTTTCGCGGTTGAGTGTACGTAAGCGAGAAAGATCTATGGGTCGGTTGGAGGAGCAAATGCAAGAACTAGGCGTAGAGGTGAATCTCATTCCATTTTGGCTTTCTTGCTTGTTTTTTTACTCATTTGGTTGTTCTGTGAGCTCTACAACTTTTATTCAGTCTAAGATTCAGACAGTTGCTGTAGCGGCCCCTTCGCCCAACTGGGCTTTGTTATTGAGCGCGGTACCTAAATACCTGCTTTACATGCATTAAGCCCAGCAACGGCCTATGTGCGTGAGCTGGCGACCCGCGCGCATAGTCGCTGTCATGCTAACGGTGGCCCGTACTCCTGTATGGGCTCTTGAACTCATCACTGGCGACCCCCGCTCTCATATAGACGCCATGAATTTAGCAGCAGCTTGCTTATCCACATGTTTAGTTAAGGTGTATGTCATGAGGCGTGACTTTGGTTGCCAGCCGGTCATCATGGTAAAATTTGTGTTCTACTGCGCACAGATGTAGTTTTAGGAGGATGTACTAGATTATCGCAGAGGTTGCTCAATCTTATCACAAAATATATTCAAAACCTGGATATTGACGCTCAAAAACCTCTAAAATGCAGCTCATACCAAAATCATTGACATTTTACTCAGTTTTTCATCATAATCCGTGAAACTCAGCAAGTGGCAATGCTAAACAGCTAGTGAGCTAGGGCACTTTGTTAGCTTTTTCTTCAAATGCTCGCATTACAGTGAACTGGACTTTTGAATTAATGACGTGTATAGATATCGCACTGACGCGTCTTCTGATTAGCACTCGTTGTAAGCGCAAGGGTTACGCGCACGCAATAAGGAGTGCCATTGCAGCGTTTCTTGGGTAACAGATAAGAGATCCTATTGGGAGTTGAGCTTTGATAGCGTCCCCGTCTAGTTTGACCCTTAATCCAAGTATGTGAAACGAGTTTAGAGATTTTTGAACTTTTCCAGTTGTTCTCCGACATGTTGAGAGGTGAGCCGCGCATGCATGTGAGGCCCTTTTCGTAGATTTTGTTCGCGAAAAAGTTGCCAGATATTGGGTTTTGACGATCTTTACCTCGATGTGAGTATTAACCACTACATATGGTATACCCGATAGAGTGAACTGAGTCCTGCAAAATTTCAGTCACACACTTTGAATGGTTTACATCAGCTTAAAGGCACTGTCCACCCCTTGAGGTTGGTGAGATTTTGATCCATATGATAGCGGGGCCCCTAACTAACTAATCGCTTATGTCCCGCTGCAAAAGGTGACGAAGCGAGAAAAACGCTCCAGAATGTGGAAGCGGCCTAGGTGGCACTGCCCATCAATGTGGGCGTGGATGGTCTGAAGATGATAAGACCAAAATGGGCTTCAGGATAGATAGAAATGTCGAAAATCTGATTTATGATAAAGAATTTACGCCAATCTAGATAAGTGAGCCCAACCTTGAACTCGTTATTTTTAGACACCCACGTTAGTGCGTGTTACCGCCTGGGCCATGACTACCTTCTGAAGCGATTTGCTCGCTTCGGAATTGACTTTTTGCAGCGAGACTTAGGTGATCAAATAGTTAGGGGCGCCACTCTCACAAAGCAGCGTCAATTCGGGTGGACATTCTTCTGAAAACAAAGACAGAAATGTGGTATTTGCAGCTTAAGAAGTGGGTCTGCCTTATCGCTACGTTATTGCTGTTCTTCTCTTTTTTTAGTGACTAAAGACGATTTTCTAGATCGACACAAAGCGCATGAAGAATCTCCAAGGACAAGCTCAAAAACCGCAGCTTGGTAAGAAGGTGAAGGTTGGCCGATCACCAAGTCTAAGTGCATCGCGTCCACCGCCGAGAGATGAACTTGCTATACCTAACAAGGAGGTAAGGGGTAAACATAAATGAGAATATTATGCACGAAAATTTGTATTTCAGACAAGAGCCAAGGCCGCTAAACTTCGTGTGAATGCTATGCGTCGGTTGAGGAAAGAGGCAAGAAAGGGAGAAGCTGATCGTCACGTGTATGATCTGAAGCCGAAGCATTTGTTTAGTGGAAAGCGAAAAATGGGAAAAACCGACAGGAGATAAGCGGTTGATTCCCTATTTTTGCTCAAGGAATTTTATAAGAAAAATTACTTATCAAAGACAGTTTCTGTTAGTTGAAGAGTTATTCCCTTGTTTCTGTTACTCGTTATGTTACTATGTGAAGTTTCGTTGTTATTCGCATCTAAATCTTTTGATGCGATGCTGCTGTTGCATTTGTTATCTGTTTGTAGAATCCTCCATAAATATATATAAAATCTTATTTGCTCAATCTATGGAGTACCGATTCAACAACTACTTGCCACAACATTGAGCAATATTCCTTCATAAAATGCTTGGTAAAAGTGGAGAATATAACGCTGCCAGCCGACACCGATGCGGGTTCCTACGCCCATCTTTTTGTGGCAGTCGGAAAATATTCAGCAAACTTGAGACTTGTTCTTGGTGTTCGTTGTCCGCTTTCTTGATAGGGCATTTAGCTTTTAGGTCATGGTAAAAACTACAGAGGCAGTTGTAACAGAAAAGAGAACTGATGCAGCCTTGAAAAAGAAGGTGCGCAGAGATTCTATCTTATTTCGCATTCATTTAATTGAGTGGTTTGGTTAAGAAGCGTCCTTGGCGAGATAAAGTGCGGAAGAAGGCTCGAAAGGAAGCGCAAAGAGCGAATAGAGCTATCACGGTTTTGGATAAGGTAGTGCAAGCTTTCGTTCGATCCTACATTTGTGCTAGCAAGGTTTACATCGGACAGTTTCGATTTCTGTAGATCTGCGTTTGTATAGGCTATTCCGTCTCTAGTCGAATCCAAGAAGAAGAAGAAGAAAAGGAAGAGAAAAAAGAATGTGTCAGATAACGATGAACCTACATCGAAGGCTGTGACGGATTCGGCAAAAAATGTGGTGCAAGAAGGGTACAAAAAACTTGAATCCGGGCGTTTTAGGTCTGTTCTTTCCGCCTTAAAAAGCGTTTATAAGTTTGCATTTCAGATTTTTGAATGAACAACTGTATACGATGAGTGGTAGTGAGGCGCTGGATTATTTTCGAGAGGATCCGGATGCATTTCGCTGCTATCACAGCGGATTTGCTGAGCAGGTGCGTCCATTCAGAACTGCATTTTGTCGTGGAAATTTATCTAGTGCTTCACTTTTGGAAAGGGGTAGCTTTTTTTTCTGGATGTGTTATTACTTGTTAGACCTTGTTTAGGTCAAAAAGTGGCCGACTCATCCACTAGATGTGATTATAAGATGGTTGAAGGTGCAACCAAAACAACGTGTTGTCCTTGATCTTGGTTGTGGAGACGCGAAAATCGCTGATGCCGTGGGGGAATTGCATAAGGTGATCAGTGAATGCCTTTTTGATTCTGATTACCTTGCACACCTACCTAGGTCCATTCTTACGATCTGGTTGCTGTAAATGAAAAAGTGACAGCATGCGATATGGCTCATTTACCACTGGAAGATGCATGCGCGGATATTGTTATATTTTGCCTTTCCCTGATGGGTACCAACCTCGCAGATTATATCAGGGAAGCTAGACGTGTTCTGAAGATAGGGTGAGTTTCGGGCTTCACAGCCTATAACACTGCAAGGAGGATTGCTAACGTTTTGTATAGGAATAATTTAGAACAAAAATCATTTCTGAGTACTTTGACTCGAAATTGTTCGATTTTGCACTCAAGCATGAAACTCTTTTTCATGTAATGTTGCCTTGTTTTTTCATTAGGTCTTTTTTTATAGCATTATCGAATAGAAATATGATCTAAAACATATTTGTTGAAGCCTTTTAAGCCATAATATTTTGCGATTTTTCTTGATATTGTTGCAAACTTTCTAGCAAACGCGAGGTTCAAAGCCCTCAGCAATTTTACACCGGTTATGGCAATGAAGTACGAAATGTATACATTTTTTCAAAGAGTGCTTTTTCTTGCATCTTTGCTCTTAGTCCAGCATATATTGAAGTACTGGTACGACAATATCAATTTTAGTGGTGTATTGAAAATTGCGGAGGTTCTAAGCCGCTTTGTCAATGTGAAATTGTTCTGTGTGGCTGTATGCAAACTGGGATTTTCTCTCATAGAGAAGGTAAACTAAACTTCTTCACCATTCTAAATCGCAACAACATATTACACAGTAACCTCGACTTTCAGAAACAACTGACCGACTACTTCACATTACTTGAATTCCATAAGATTGAAAAGGTGGAAAATAAACGGCCATTCGGACTCAAACTGAAGCCTTGCTTATACAAAAAGCGATAGTACTTACTGTTTTTTGGTGCCTCGAACTCATTGTTCACGCGGTTGTATCTGGTTGTTATTGTTGATTGTTTATAAATTTTTTGTTCTCAGATTTTATTGGGCATTCACAAGGCTAGTTCCTCTCATTACCTCTGGCTTACTCGCTCCTACTCAGGGCAAAGCTGCAATTGATATCATGAAAGTAACAAAATCAGGATGACAAAAGAGACATTTGAAGAGGACGTATTTTGCTGCGCTCTCTCTGTTAAGAATGTATGTCGCGACTCTTTCATTCACTGTTCAGTCGGTGTTTGAAAAGGGTGTTCCAGCTTCATTCATACTGTCACGGTTGCTTGAAAAATGATGCAAGTCTCAAGAGATGTAGCGGGTGCAGAATGTTTGTTTATTGTTCCACAGCTTGTCAGAAGAAGGATTGGCGTTTACATAAAAACGAGTGCACAGCTTGCAAGGTTAATATAGGATCTTCTTGACGGCTTCTTGACTGCTTCAATTCTGGCACTTAGGCAATCGATGGTGTTTCAAATGAGGAGATTAGACTCGTGATGAGAATGGCTGTCAAGTGGAACGTTGGAGATATGGGTGAAGTTGAGGCTGATGGAGGTATTTTCACTTGATTGCAAGTCTTAAAATAACATGGCAGTATTCAGTACCGCGGTCTCTGTCAACCCTAGAATTCCACGATAGTGCGCTTGAGGCTAAATCTGTCCAGTTTCTTGATGAATACAAGCAGTTTTTTCGCAAACAGGTAGTTGGAGACGGCGTTATAAAGAGGTTAGCGGAAGTATACTAAATACTCAAACTCAGTTTTTTCTTCTAAAGGGCATATATCACTGAAAGTTGGTTATTTGCTCCTGCCTATTTGAGAGTGCTCGGTCTTCATACAAAATTGGACTGTACTTTGGGAAAAAAATTACAACATGGGTTATGACGGAAGTATTCACAGAAGGAGTTGCCTCACCTCTTTCCAGGTTATGCAAGGTGGCATGTGTGAACAGTTTTGCTCTCACGAATGAGTTTGGGACCTCTATTGGAATGTCATTGTGCATTCGACTTAGTGCCATCGATCATTCTTGTCGTCTTAACGTGCGATATGCTTATAGGTGTGTTTATTTTCCGATAAAATCCCAGTTTTTATTCAGGGACCTTAGATTTTTTTCGCAAAGTAGATTAATCTTTCTTTATCAACCTAGAATTATTGACTTTCTAGTTTTTTTTGTATACAATACTAACAATAAGTTCTGGTTCACTCCCAGATTCGTGTCTTTATTAAGTCTGTATTATTGTTGGTGACAGGGAATACCTGGCTACTACAGCAGAGGGATTGGTGGTAGCACGAATTGGGGAGGAACGATTTTGCTAACAAGGGAAGTCACTTAACTTAGGTCGGGCTTTTGAAATGAGACACATATATTTAGAACCAGCTTGGAACGCTGATTCCAAATATGTTATCCTTAGCTGCGAAGCGTTTTCCTGAGGCGAGTTATGAGCTTTTTTAGTATGTGTCATTGGCATACAACTGAATATGGATAGGTCTTTGGATGAAAATCTGCCCAAAAAGTGGTGAAAAATCAAAATAACATCAAATTGAGTCATTTGGCTTTGATAGGGTATAACATGCATTTGAACGACTACCTAGATGATGATACCATAGCATGCCTAAGTCGATCAACACGCAAAATTTGCTCAGGAAAAAGCTCATAACTCGCTTCAGAGGAATGCTTCGCAGCTAAGGAAAGCAGATTTGTCAGCGTTTCAAGCTGATTCCAACCATATGTGTCTCATTTCAAAAGCTCGACCTAAGTTAATGACTTCCCTTGTAAGTAGAAGATTAGCAAGGTGGTTACCATAATGATGGGTTACCATAGCGTTGGTTTGGGTTACCAAAGCTGTAAGAGAGGGTTAATATAGTGTATAGGGGGGTACAAGCGGTGATGGTCCCCACTTCAAGTTCGCGAGTTCCATCTTCATTGGAAGAAGCTAAACACTCCTATATCAATGAGCTGATGCCACGTTCAATGCGAAGGGAGATTTTGAAGGTAGGACACAACTCTAAATTTGAATACTATTATTATTTTCTCCTTTCATTATTTAAAATGTCGTATTTCAGCGGGATTATAACTTCGATTGTTCTTGTGAGGGATGCATGGATGAAGAGCGGAATGCCCGCATGGAAGGTTGGTGCTGTGAACAATGCAAAGACGGTTGGCTACCACCCACGGAAGACTCCAAATGCACTATGTGCGGTAAATGCCCTTATGTCACGAGAAGTGCATTTCTGATGTGTAGGACTGATTATATCATCCTGAACTTTAGGTGTGAATGGAGACTGACTCGCGATCATTACGAAGTATGTAGATTGGCGGAAGAAACAGCCAAATCTGGCAATAAGGTGCTGCTGGCGGATCAGTATAAACACGAAGCCAAACTCAAAATGGCCCACACTGTGAGATATTATGGTCATGGGATACTCCCATTGGACATAATAAGTTTTAGATGATGCCAGTGTTTGAAGGGGCGCTCTACGCATACAACGTATTGCGGGTCCCCAGCCTGCGAACCCTCTTCGAGAACGCAGTCCTTGAAAAAAAGTGAGCCATCATTTTATTTGAAGACTCTTTAAAGGAGTAATTAGGAAAATACCCAATCATTGCGGTGTTGAGCCCTTTTCAAGAAAAAAAAATCTAGCTTGTGTACATAGGACGCAAATTCATAACTTCCTAATTTATCGACGGATTTGCCATTAATTTTGTTTGGAAAAAAATTGATTTTACAATAGTACTTTGATTTCTTTCACTGAGCACAAGATGCATAGAGGGAAGAAGAGAAATAAAGTTCTTTTGATTTACAGAAAAACTGAACCTTGCTTTGAAAAATGAAGCAATCGGTTATAGGTTTCACTACCTGTTCTTTCTAAATGAGCAAATGTGCTGATTCCGCGTCTCTATATGTTATGAATTTTGAACAAGCAGTATAAAAGAGCAAATTTGGGTTTTTTCCCGAAAATAATAACTTTTCGTAGAAATTTGCGATTAGATCAAATTCTGCTTGGGAATAACAGATAATAAGAGCAGGGTACCGATTCTCCCAATTTTTTATGGCGTGCAGGTTGTTTACACCAAACACAGAAGATCCGAATCTTTAATTATTGTCTTCTATCGCTTCTATCTACGAACGTGCGCTCAATGGAAAGCCGCTGGGTTACTGTTACAAAATACGAGCATGATTTTTGCTTTGTAGTAAAACTAAATGCAGGAAGTTCTATGATAAATCAAGAAGTCATAAATTTTAAAATGGTGCGGCACAACTTTCATTTCGCCCAATACTTGTTGCTGTCCTCTTTCAGCGCCGAAGAAATGATCAAATATGGTGGCGCATTACTACATTTGCAAGAGCAGTATCAAGATAGAGACGATCTAGCTTTGTGTCACTTGAAGTATGGATTAGCTCAGGCGTACAAATCCGCTGGTAAGGACAAGGAATGCCGAGAATTGCTTGCTGGAGTTAAAGAGGTACAGCGATTTTCTCTATGTAATTTTCCAGCAAAGCAGATTTGGAAAGAAAAAAAGGGTCGAAAATGTTGATAAGTTGGCGCGATACTGGGGAAGAGAATGAAAATAGTCCCATATCCTTCGTGTACAAGCGGCTATGGCAACTTGTGCGATATCGCTTACAGGCTAGACAGGCTGAAAACGGTTTTTATGTTAAAAAATGAATTTTTATCTACATTGGCCTCTTTATCGCTTGTATTGCCAGCGTATTTGCAAAAAAAAGGAAGAAACAGCGATAATAATGACTTGAAGAAGTCTCGCACGAGAAATTCGTGAGCTTTCAATGTTGTCCATTTTCAGCGAGCTCTCTTCTTTTGATACATGTTATAGAAAGAATATCATGCGCGCTCCTGCCGTACTTGAAGCAAAAATCGTTGTTGGCATATAGCGGATAGCGGACAGCGGCTAAAAAACTAATTGTATTTCTTTAAGACTTCGTAAAAAGGCTAAGTAATACACACTCTGAAGAGTTTTGGTATTGTTTTGTCGTCTACACTTATCAACCAAGAGTTCCTAATGATTGAATGTCTTACGGATAGCCATTGGTCCCAAGATTTACTCTTGGATTGCATTTGAAAGTTATACTCTACTATGTGTCATAAAATACTACATTCACTGTACATAACAAGATGGGTTTTTATTCGCTTAATCTTATATATAAAGCTGAAGGTCTGTTTGTCTGTATGTCTGTCTGTCTGTCCGTATGTGTGTACGTATGTTCCGAATAGAAAATTCCATTTCTGAACCGATCGGGACCAAACTTAGCACACATACACTTCGGGCCCCGGCGGGTGTCATAGGCTACTTTTCGTCATCGATCAATATCGATTTTATGATTTTTTGCAAAATTTGAGCTATTTGGCAGAGGGGTGCAATCGAGCATGCTGATCACCCCCACGGGGGTGATCAGCATGCTCGATTACACCCCTCTGCCAAATTCCAGCCCCCTAGCTCAAATTTTGCAGTAGCCTATGACACACGCCGGGGCCCGAAGTGTATGTGTGCCAAGTTTGGTCCCGATCGGTTCAGAAATAAAAATTTCTATTCGGAACATACGTACATACAGACATACATACAGACATACAGACATACAAACAGACATTCAGCTTTATATATAAGATTGTAAAAAATTACTCATATTTTTATATTTATGCACCACCTTAGAAGATTGTGCACTGCGAGAAGTTAATTCTTTTTGAGTGATGTGGAATTTCAGATCTTTGCACGAACCTATGGGCCAAACTCCAAGATATACACGTACACCTCACTGATCTCATAGCTGTATTTGTTGCAGCTGTTGTTCCGCTGTTTGACCCCGGTTTTCGTTGCATTATGCTTTGAGAAATAAAATATTGAAGACATACATGCACTGGACTGAGGGCTTTTATGTCATTGTATCTCTTCTATGTATGTCCGCTGCTCTATTAATTGTTTCATATAAAGATACTGCCATTGACCAGATGTCAGTTGATTTCGGTTGGCGTCGGTTCAATTTCTTCGACAAAAATGTGGTGCAGGATCCAGAGAGTCCGGATGAGAAATTTTTAGGTCTCAAGGTATACATATATATCCCCTGTGATTTTGCACACTCGGTTCGGTTTTTTAGGACGTATGTGTTGACTGTTGGTGTGGTGGAGTAGGAGGTGAAGCAGCATACCTTGGAGAGTCTCGGGGAGGAGTGTTCCGGCTTGGAAAGAATCTCGAGCAGTATTACTGGAAAGCTTATCAAGCTTCTCTCACTGCCTTGCATGCGGCGGAAAAGTATCTATTCTCGATAGGAGTTAGTTTCTGTTCAGCTTATTCGGCGTTTTTTCTCTTTGGGCTTTTGTAGCTCCAAATGCATCAGCAGTTTGTAGGAGGACGAGGAAGGACCGCAATCAATTTTAAAGATTTGGGAACGTGATCGCCATGAGAAAAATGCCCCTGTTCTCAAGCGTGAAGTTAATATCTTGGGTAACCCAATTTTTTCTAAATGAAAATTTCTTAAGATACGACTGACTTCCATACATCCCAGTGGGCATGGTACGGTAGCAGCTTGCGCGGTTGCTGTACACTCAACTTTATCTTCGATCGCGATTGGCCTTGCAGACGGCACCGTTCTCCTTTACCAAGGAGATGTCATAAAAGACAAAGTATCTTCCCTTGTTTCATTCGATCATTTCTATCGTATCTCAATTTAGGCCCTGTCTTCTCGATGGCAACGCATACGTGATGCTTCACCTCTGGATGGACCAGTTACTGGCTTAGCTCTTGCGAGACTACCTGGAGAACGACTTGTCGTTTTTGTTGTCACTTCGAAAGTCGTTAATTCCTATGTCATCGAGAACAAAGCAATCGTCAATATGGTAGGTTTGCAAAAAAACTATCATAGCAGAAGCTAGTGAAGAACCATACTGAATTCTTTTGACAGACTCTTGCTTCTCTTTTGTGGTAAAAGTACTGTCCAATCAAAGTTGAGGTGAAGCTGTACAATAGTAGGACTCTTCACTAATAATGGAAGGATACTGGCCTGGAAAATTGGGTGCATATAAGCAAAAGCGTCTACGAACGCTGATTTCAAAGCTGCTTTTCATATTTACAGAGAGATTTTCTGCAAGGAGCGCCCAGATCGTAAAATGTGGTATATAACATATTTCCAATGAGAAGTGGTTTGGAAACACTAATCCATTCTAGTGAATATACTCTTTTCTCACAGTCAGTAAACCAAAGATCATTGTCATGTTGACTTTTGATCTATTATATTAGGCTGGAAACTAAGTTTTGCAACTATTTTCATAACTCAACTTTCTTTAGATGTAGCGCACTCAAACTTGGGCAGTATGTAGAGCGTAGTGTAAGCTACAATTGAGCAAAGTTGCTTGAATTTTGAGAACAAATTAGAGAACCAGCCATTTTTCGAAAACTAGTAAATTTTGAAAATTTTCTGGGTTTTAAGGCAAAATGAAGTTGTTAGTAGTCTAGACCATGTGCAATAATCCGGAATCGTGTATCGATTGTTGCTGGAAGTTGACTTATTTGGCGCACCAAAAAAGAAGTAAAATTTAGGGGCAAATCTAGATTCGGCGCCCTCATAATTTCGAAAGAGTTGCCGTACGCAAGGCTGCTGAGGACAACCGTCAATGACTATGGAGTCAGAACCACAAAACTCCCCAAGTCCTTACATATTGAGGTTCTCTGACCTGCTAAACGCGAATATCATATTCATTTGTTGAATCAACGCCTTTTTCCTTGTTTAGGATGGAATCTTATATCGTACACCTACCGTGATCTTGCAAACAGCCCTTATCACGCAACTTTAATATCGTTTTTTTGATCAGCATGTCGGATAACCCCCCCTACACCAAATTTCAGCCAAATCTGTCAAATTTTGTAATTTTTCCCTTTATACCATACACCTACCGTAACCCTCACTGCGAGTCAAAATTTGGTAGAACAGCAGCTGCGCTTGTAGCTTCTTCATAATCAACACAGTGGCAAAATTTGAGTGCGCCATGTTGAGTGAGAGAAAAGTTATTGAATGAGCTGCAAAACTTAGTTTCCAACCTAATACATTATCAGTAGTAACATCGGGAAGTTTACAGATGATTCAAAATTGTAATATGTTCGCTGAAAATTAAATTCGGTCGTTTTCAACGTTTTGTAAGGATGTTGCAGATTAATCTTGCACAAAAGTATGGTTTACTAGCTGGCTTACCCGGCTCCGCCGTATCCGGACCAAACTTGGCACACATACACTTCGGGCCCCGGCGGGTGTCACAGTCCACTTTTCGTTATCGATCGATGTCGATTTTACCGATTTTTATCGATTTTTTTGCAGAGTTCACCTTCAGGGCTAGGAGTTGGCACAGGGGGGGAAGTGAGCATGGGGATTCCGAATACAACATTAGTTTTCAGGATCGTCCATTACTTTTATCGATTTTGTCGATTTTTTTGTAAAGTTTGACCTGCGGGGCTGGGAGTTTGAGGGGGGTAATCGAGCATGCTGATTACGAACACAATATTAGTTTTCAGGATCGTCCATTACTTTTATCGATTTTATCGATTTTTTTGTAAAGTTTGACCTGCGGGGCTGGGAGTTTGCACAGGGGGGTAATCAAGCATGCAGATTACGAACACAATATTAGTTTTCAGGATCGTCCATTACTTTTTCGATTTTATCGATTTTTTGAAAATTTGAGCTAGGGGGCTGGAATTTGGCACAGGAGTGTAATCGAGCATGCTGATCACCCCCCTTGGGGGTGATCAGCAAGCTCGATTACCCCCCTGTACCAACTCCCAGCCCCCTAGCTCAAACTTTGCAAAAAATCGATAAAATCGATAATAGTAATCGATAATCCTGAAAACCAATATTGTATTCGGAATCCCCATGCTCGATTACCCCCCTGTGCCAACTCCCAGCCCCGTAGCTCAAAATTTGCAAAAAAATCGATAAAATCGATAAAAGTAATCGATAATCCTGAAAACCAATATTGTGTTCGTAATCAGCATGCTCGATTACCCCCCTCAAACTCCCAGCCCCGCAGGTCAAACTTTGCAAAAAAATCGATGAAATCGATAAAAGTAATGGACGATCCTGAAAACTAATGTTGTATTCGGAATCCCCATGCTCACTTCCCCCCCTGTGCCAACTCCTAGCCCTGAAGCTCAAAATTTGCAAAAAAATCGATAAAATCGATAAAAGTAATCGATAATCCTGAAAACCAATATTGTATTCGGAATCCCCATGCTCGATTACCCCCCTGTGCCAACTCCCAGCCCCGTAGCTCAAACTTTGCAAAAAAATCGATGAAATCGATAAAAGTAATCGATAATCCTGAAAACCAATATTGTATTCGGAATCCCCATGCTCGATTACCCCCCTGTGCCAACTCCCAGCCCCGTAGGTGAACTCAGCAAAAAAATCGATAAAAATCGATAAAATCGATATCGATCGATGACGAAAAGTAGCCTATGACACCCGCCGGGGCCCGAAGTGTATGTGTGCCAAGTTTGGTCCGGATCGGTTCAGAAATGGAATTTTCTATTCGGAACATACGTACATACATACATACATACATACAGACATACAGACATACAGACAAACAGACATTCAGCTTTATATATAAGACCCCCCTGTACCAACTCCCAGCCCCCTAGCTCAAACTTTGCAAAAAATCGATAAAATCGATAATAGTAATCGATAATCCTGAAAACCAATATTGTATTCGGAATCCCCATGCTCGATTACCCCCCTGTGCCAACTCCCAGCCCCGTAGCTCAAAATTTGCAAAAAAATCGATAAAATCGATAAAAGTAATCGATAATCCTGAAAACCAATATTGTATTCGGAATCCCCATGCTCGATTACCCCCTGTGCCAACTCCCAGCCCCGTAGCTCAAACTTTGCAAAAAAATCGATGAAATCGATAAAAGTAATCGATAATCCTGAAAACCAATATTGTATTCGGAATCCCCATGCTCGATTACCCCCCTGTGCCAACTCCCAGCCCCGTAGCTCAAAATTTGCAAAAAAATCGATAAAATCGATAAAAGTAATCGATAATCCTGAAAACCAATATTGTATTCGGAATCCCCATGCTCGATTACCCCCCTGTGCCAACTCCCAGCCCCGTAGCTCAAACTTTGCAAAAAAATCGATGAAATCGATAAAAGTAATCGATAATCCTGAAAACCAATATTGTATTCGGAATCCCCATGCTCGATTACCCCCCTGTGCCAACTCCCAGCCCCGTAGGTGAACTCAGCAAAAAAATCGATAAAAATCGATAAAATCGATATCGATCGATGACGAAAAGTAGCCTATGACACCCGCCGGGGCCCGAAGTGTATGTGTGCCAAGTTTGGTCCGGATCGGTTCAGAAATGGAATTTTCTATTCGGAACATACGTACATACATACATACATACATACAGACATACAGACATACAGACAAACAGACATTCAGCTTTATATATAAGACTAGCGACCCTACGGGTCGCTAGTAGATGGGTGGGGGCAGATACATTGATATCTGCCATTAATTAACTAAAATCCCAAGAAAGAGAATTTTCATCTTCCCAGCGACCTTTCGCATGTTGTGAGTAGTAGAAACAAAACACTATGCTCTTAGGAAAAGAAGCTACTACCACTGACTATGCGCAAAGCATCTTTGCTGTTTTCTTGCACATACCTTTGCCCAGATACCACAGCTCTTAAACAAGGAAGCTACCTCGAAGCACCTGTTTAGAGCAGCTGATTCATCCCAAAACTCAGATTGATTTCCAGGAAAGTGCCATGTTAAAGGAAGCGTCAATTTATGTCTTCCAGCAGCCAAAAACTCAGATATGTCGGTAAAAACGAAGCAGCATTTTCTTCGATGATGTCTTGCCAGTGAACGGGATCATTTCTTGAACAGAAGCTGGCCCAGCGCCTTCTTTTGAAGGACAATCTTACCGAAACTGTCCTGTCGTATAAAACCCTAGTTCTTTCCTTCCCTCAAAACCAAGCTCCTTATGCTTCCGCTTTTAGCAGAAGTATGGTTGAGAAGAAGGGTAATTTTTCCAGCAAGTTTCTGTATAATCAAATATTGACACCTAAAAACTTTTAGCGCAATTATCTTGCTGCCCGAGCCCTGAGTCTTTTCTTCCCTCGAGACCAAGCTCCCTGTTTTTTGCTTCTAGGGACAAAAGTGTGGTTTTTGCAAAGTTCAGAAGGCCAGAATTTTCAGCAAAGATGATTTCCTGTCGCAAGAAGCTCATGGGTCTGTTTGGATGCATGTCAAGAGGCGCGATTCTTATTACCAGATGGGCAGTATATAGCACATACTTGTGTTTTATGAAGTTCCAGGATTATTTGAAATTTCAAAAGAAGTACATCAGAGAATTGCAGGAATTTTTCGATCTTATCATTTTGAAAGCGATTCAAAACAAAATTGTTGAAGGTCAAAAACCCACGAAAATGCAGTTTATAGCAGTTTTGTAACTATTTCGGTCAGTTTTCTAGCAAAAGTCGTCGAACTTATCAAATGGTTACTTCAAACAGCTAGTAAGCCGATGGACTTTGTCCGACACTTTTTGAACACTCCCATAGCGAGAAACTGAAGTTTTAAGTTGGTGACAGCCAGAAAAATCGCGCCTCTTGACCGTCTCCCGGTCTGTCTTTTCCTCGAGACCACTCTTCTGTTTTCAGAGGCAGAAGTCTGGTTTTTGCAGAGTGGAATGGCCACAAGTGAATTTTAAACAAGTTTCTGTAGAATACACATTGACACCCAGAACTTTTCAGCGAAAATATCTTGCTGGCTGAGCTTATGAGTCTCTTTTCCTCGAAACCAAGCTATCTGTGCTGTTTTGCTTTTAGGGGTAGAAGT